ACCTCGAAGTAACCGATAATCTTCTATCATCATTTTCCATATTGGTCAATTACTTTGATTTAATTTTTCAAATTCTATTGCCCTTTTCATTTTCAGGAAAAATAAAGCAAATAACCATAGTAGAAGAAAACCCTTTATATACAGACATACTGAAGAACAAACCCTAGGCTTTGATACCAGTTGTTGGGATCAATTAGTGAAAAATCGACAAGGGTGTATAACATTCACAACTATTGTGTATTTAATAAATATAAACAAGAAATGTAAACTACACAATATCAAAGAAAGAACATGGAATGAAAGATCTAGCAACATTCAATACACAAAGCACAAAGAGTTCATGTGGTTCGGTCACAAATCATGACATACATCTATGGGAGAATGACGCGAGACTTTACTTACTGATTTAGAAAGATTACAAGATGAAATCGAGCTCAAAATATCAAATTCCAACACCCTTACTCACTCTAAACAGAACCCAAAATCAAGGTACCAAGAACTCCAAAAAATGAGTTCTCTTTAACACTTTTTTTCATTAAAATAGGGCACACAACAAACCCACAATGGAGTTAAAACCTTTTGCTCACTTTCTCTCTCTAAAACATAGCATAATAAGTTATCAAGAGAAAACTCAATTGCAGCCCAATCTCTCTATATTTTTCGCACTCTTTCTCTCTCTAAACAAAGGGATTTTAATCTCTTTAAAAGAGTAAAGTTCCAATAATACCACAACCATTGGATTAGATGCAATCCAATGGTCAAATATAAAAGAGAAGAAGTCAAATAAAAACCCCAGGTGCGATTTATTTTCATTTATGTAACAACACTCGGGCAACAGTTCTAGCCTAGGCCCTACTTTTTCAGGGTCTCGCCGATAGGGCCATGGCCAGGCCCCCTGGCGCGTTGCATGTCCTACACAGGAACATAATATTTTTTTAACTTGAATAGAAATATTGGAACGTTCTATCATGACATGTTACATGAAATAACTCAAGAGATTACATGAAACATGATAGACGTAAGTTGTTCTTTTCATTGGATTGGTACCAATTGTTTGTTAGTGACCTGCGATGAATAAATTCTTAACATCTCACATTCTTTCTCCACACTTTTATCTCTCCTAACTTTGCAAAATATCAAATTGTTGCCACTCACAACCCCTATTCCCTTCTTTTTTCGATTCTTTGTGGGAGAAATTGTATTGTATCCTTCTAAGTTAATGTACACTTAGTACTATTACAAAATAATCTCAAAGATTTTTTAAGGCACGCGGCCCAGCTCAGTCCAGTTCATGGCGTGCTCGGGCCTCATATGAAGGCCAGTTTCAAGCCAGGCCCTGCCTAATGGCGGCTCCAAAGCTACAGTTGGGCCTGGCTATGGTCGACCCGGTCCTTTGCCCGGCCTACCCTTGATAACCAATAAGATATATGATATATGATTCAAAAATGATTATTGTTATTCTTCTGTCCACAATTGCACGAGAAACTAGTACAAGTGTGAATAGCATACTCCCACGAGAGCATAATGTTGAGAACTCCACAGGCAAAAGAGCTTGTTGGGAGGATTCTTTGGTCCAAAATGTTTTGGGATTATTTAAGTATCACTAGATGATTACTGTCAAGAAAAGAAAATTTAGATTTTGAATTGCTAGACACCTCGATCTTGCCCTTCAAAAATTGGATGGTTCTTATTTAGGACATTATGTTTTTGAGTCACATAGAGCGCACGATTCAATTTGTTTCTTCTTTGAGGTTAGTTGCTAGATTGTAGAGGTTACATCTGCAAAATTTGTGGAATAAAAGTTATTCCAACTGTGACTTTTTCATGAGGGAGCGTATACGCAGTGTGAATCGAGAGGAGAAATATATAAGTTCACAACTAGTGCAGGCCAACCTCTGACGCCATTTAATTCGTGGATTGAGGACCCAGACACACTCCATTGTCCACTACGTGCAATGAATTTCGAATTAATAGAACCCCAAATCTGATAACTTTACCATTGTTTGAAAATAAATGCAATATCAAATTTGAGATAATAATCTTGATGAAGCACTTCCAGAGCTCCAATATTTTTTTTTTCATTCCATTTGATTAATATTTAAGTACAAGAGGATGAATGTGGGGTGTTTTGGTCCTCGACCATTCCTAAGCCATGAGGGCTTCTTGCTTCCGAAGTTTGGATGTAGTGACAAATATTGCCATTCAGTTTCCAACCTGATTGAGGGACTTCAAATGAATATTGAAAAGCGCCAATTTTCTTTAATGGACAATTTCCATTGAAACAAAAAAAAGTGCATGTTTTGCTAGTAGATTTGCTTTACATAATTCATTTATGGAAGTGTAGAATTCCAAGTCGCAGCATTGCTTTTCGTACTGTGAATAGAAACCTAGACTAGTAGTTCAAGGAGGAATCCCAACCCGTACCTATCTTAAGAAATAGTTAGTGGTTTTGGAATCCATTAATGAGAATGGAAACCTAGTCCGGTAGCTGAGGCTAAGGTGGTGCTACCAACACTACCTCAACCTCAGTCCTAAGGAACTTGTTAATTTTGGAGAATCGATCTTCTTTTTTGACCCAAAAGTGGATATTCATACATGCCAAATGAGATCCCTTGATTGTAGTGATTTACAATTTGAAATAAAACCATCTAAATAATAAAATTATCTAACACTCCCCCTCAAGTTGTAACGTGAATGTCGAGAACACCCAACTTGCGAATCAAACAATTGAATTGGTCACGGCCAAGATCTTTTAGGTGGAAGCGGCGATGCAAGAAGTATTTGAGAGACTGTATGGCATGTGAATTGGTGCCCATAACAATGATATCATCGGCATAAACCAAAATTATCAGAAAACCGTCACGACGATTGTGAGTAAACAACGAATAATTTGCTTTAGATTGGATAAAGCCAGCATCAATAAGGGCTGAGGAGAACTTGACAAACCACTAATGGGATGCCTACTTGAGGCCATATATGGATTTGTGTAACCCCCGAAGGAAGACTCATGTATACCTCTTCTTCCAAGTCACCATGAAGAAATGCAATATGAACATCTAATTGGTGCAAAGCCCAATTACAAACTGAAGCAACGGCTAGTAAACAGCGAACAATGACCAATTTTGCAACTGTTACAAAGGTTTCATGGTAGTCCAATCCTTCACATTGGGTTTAACCCTTGGCAATAAGGCGGGCTTTATAACGTTCACTGGTACCATCAGATCGATACTTGACTTTATATACCCACTTACATCCAATGGGAGTTTTCCCAAGAGGTAAAGCTATAAGGGTTCATGTATGATTCTTCTCAAGTGTCTAAAGCTCACATTGCATTACCTCTTGCCACTTGGGGTTTTGCACAATATGAGAATAAGAGGTAGGTTCCTGAATAGAAAAGACGGCTAAAACAAAATGTTTATGAGAGGGAGACAAGTTTTGATAAGAAATGAAGTGGGACAGAGGATGATGTGTACCTTTGGTGGAACCAGTGCCAAAAGAAGATATGGAAGCAGCTCCAAGCTTGGTGTGAGAGCAGTGAAAGTCTTTCAGATAGGAAGGTGGAAGCACGTTGAGAGCATCGAATGGTGGTATAAAGATTGGTGCTGGGACAGAAATGGGTGGACATGAGATTGGTCTTGATGAGGAGAAATAGGGGAACTGGCTAGGGAAGTGATGGGATCAGTAGTGTTTGGGGCGTTATGTGAGTCAAGGGGTGGGGAGTTATTGGGTATTAATAATGGTAAAATGACAGGGGAACCGTTGGAAAGGAGATTTTGATAAGGGAAAATGTTCTCAAGAAAGACTACATCACGAGAAGTGAAAATAGAATTCTTGGAAAGGTCAAGAAGACGGTAGCCCTTTTGAGAATGAGGATAACCAAGGAAAACACATTTGCGTGCGCGAGGGTCGAACTTATCTCAATTTGAAGTAATGGTAGAAGCGCAACAAAGGCAACCAAAAACTCGCAAATGAGAGTAAGATGACTACTTGTTAAACAACACTTCAAATAGGGATTTTTTCAATAATAAAGGTGCTGGTAACTGGTGTATTACATATGTGGCAGTAAGAATGCAACCTCCCCAAATGGTAAGAGGAAGATTATTTTGAAAGCACAAGGCACGTGCCATTTCAAGTATGTGGCGATGTTTGTGTTCAGCAACACCGTTTGTGGAGTTTAAACGAAACTATGTTGATGGGTGACCTCATGTTCTTTAAAAAAATGTGGAAGTGCATTAGAAAAGAATTCGGATCCATTATCTGTTCTGATGTGTTTAATAGTACATTGGAAATGACTATTTACAAATGCAAAAAAATATTTTAATAAGGATGAAGCCTCAAATTTGTGTTGCATAAGAAATACCCACGTGGAACAAGAAAAAACATCAGCAAGAGTTAAAAAATAACGAGCTCCACAATGGGAAGGAGTAGAACGACCTTCCCAAAAAGTAGAGACCACCATGCTCCTTAGCTGTTTTAATCGTCGTTTTTTGGTACAGGTACTGAAAAATGCACATATCACGAGAAAATGTCATTGAACAGGGATAGAATGCAAAAAGTTTGCTGATAGAAAGTAAATTTTATCCAAAAGAAGGAACACACAATACTTGATGTAAGCAAAGTGTAGGTGTTAATAAGACAGAACCAATATGAGTTACCGAAGCAAAGGAGCCATTTGGAAGTTTGACAGGTGCTATGTGAGAAACAGGTGCAGATGAATGAAACAAAGATGTGTAAATAATCATTTGATCAAAAGTACCTGTGTCTACAATCCAAGTATCGAGAAGAATGGAAGATGGAGAGGATGTAGAGTTACCTGCAAATTTGACCATTGGTTGTGCATTACCTTCAGTAAGCATAGAGAGCAAGAGACAATATTGATCATGTGTAAATTGTAGGCTACTTTGACTTGAATTTGCAGCAACAATGTTTTTCTCATTTATTATAGGCTTAGAAGATGTCCCTTTGCCCGGTTAGTGCAATCGATGGCCCAGTGGATAACCATGAAAAACACAACAGGTGTCAATGGTGTGGCCTACCTAGCCACAATGATCACATTTGGGCCGCTGTTTGCGAGGACCTTTTGCTTTGTCGGTATTGTTGAAAGGATGTCGGGGCTGGCGGTTTGTAGTAGGTGTAGTGGTGTTGACTATAAAGGCAACAACATCTCCTGAAGGAATTGTTTTTGTAGCCACCTGCCACAGCTTTTCTTCATGAAGAAGAAGAGAATAAGTTCTATCGACATTAGGAAGAGGGTCCATGAGAATGATCTGGCCTCGAATTGGATGATAAGACTCATGGAGTCCCATGAGAAATTTAATTAATCTATCATGTTGTAGATAGTCACACAAGGCCTTAGAATACCCACAAGAACATGGTGGAAGAGGGGTATAAGAAGCAAGTTCTTCCCAAAGAGATTTAAGTTTGGTGTAATAAGCTGATATGGTGGAAGAACCTTGAGAAACAAGTACAAGATCCAGTCGTAATTTGAAGAGATAAGTTGCATTGCTTTGAGAAAAGCGATCTTTCAGATTATCCCACATGCATTGAGCAGTGGTTTCATTGAGAATACTATCAGCAATCTATTTATTGACATAAATTTGGATCCAGAATCGGACCATGTCATCACATCTTTTCCACAAAATATGATTAAAATGAGTGATGGGAGATGTGATTAAAGAACCATCCACAAAGGAGAGCTTATTTTTGGCACTCAAAGTAGTGGTCATAGCTCGACTCGATTGTGGATAATTCTCACCTTCAAGGATGTAAGAGACAATAATATTGCCAGGATTGTCATTGTTGGTCAAATGAAATGGGCTAGTGAAATCAATAACAGAGGAAGAAAAGCTATTACCATTGGTCATAGTGTTCCCATCAGGGATGACATTGGTGGAGTCTTCAAAAAGATGAGGTATTTGGTTGTCCATGGCAATAGAAACGAATAGGGAAATTTGACGGAACTGCTTCAATGGATTACAAGTAGCAAGGAATTTACGGGCTTCTTTCTAGAGAAAGGGAAGCTAGTAAGAGAGAATCTTGGTGGTTTATAACTATGGCAAGCGATCCGAGCCAAAAGATCGACTACGTGTTTCAAGATGGTGCCCTTTGGTGATTCAGTCGTGGGCAAGTCTTAGATCTTAGCCCGATTTGGTCGAAACGAGTTCAACCTTGATTACAACTCGTGCCTCTTTGCCTATCTTTCTCATCGCTGGAATATCAAGTGTTTTCCGGTGTCGCTGTGAAATCACCAGAATAGCAAGTGTTTTCCGGTCCTTCTCATAGAAGCTTCTTGCTTTTATTATCACGTGGAGGCACAGTCACGCCAAAGAACAGGCGCAGGAGAATTTAGAGAGAGAAGAGCGGGAAAGATATTTCAGGGGAGCTGCTAATGAAGCGAATACCCCACATAAAATTTCCACAAAGGCACTCAAAATAGCCTAGGAGTGGATCCTCCCAAAAAAAAAAAACAGCTATTCATCCCCATGAAATGGCACAAGATTCAAAAGCTTCAATCCAGCCCATGCACACTCTGCTTACTGAAAAGGAGATAGAAGCTATAACGTTGGGCGGTTGTTTTTAGAGAGAGAGTGAGAGAGAGGGGCATGTTTGTCCATCACATACAACTATTCAGAGAAGAAAATAAAGGGGAAAGAGTGTCATTGATCTTATTCATAAAGGGGAAAGAAAACAAATGTTAGAAGTTGCAGAATTTAGCCAAGAAGCAGTGTGGAAGAGCGGTACAAGAAGATAGAGAACACATAGAGACGTATCTTTATTTGTAGCCTTCATATATTATCGTCTATCGAGGATTGGGATTGTACCTGACTTACAGATGGACAAAGCTCAGAAAAACAAAAGCTAGAGTTAGGGTTTTGCAAGAGTGCATATTCATTCAGGCTAGGGTTAGGCTTTGATACCATGTTAATTTTGGAGAATCAATATTCTTCTTTGACCCAAAAGAGGATAATTGTACATGCGAAATGAGATCCCTTGATTGTAGGGATTTACAATTTGAAATAAAACTGTCTAACAAAACTCCTATACGCATCTCTTTCATTGCTGAGAGAGAGAGAGAGAGAGAGAGAGAGAGAGAGAGAGAGAGAGAGAGAGAGAGAGAGTAGTAGAGTAGTAGTAGTAGTAGTAGTAGAGTAGTAGTAGTAGTAGTAGTAGTAGTAGTAGTAGTAGTAGTAGTAGTAGTAGTAGTAGTAGTAGTAGTAGTAGTAGTAGTAGTAGTAGTAGTAGTAGTAGTAGTAGTAGTAGTAGTAGTAGT